ATGAGTAACGGTCATCGCATGTCAAGGGCGTTGTGAAATCAAGAATGATTGGAAGGAAATCTGTTTTTGTTCTCTATCCGGCTACATACAATAGTTCTCAGTTGTTTCTCCAAGAGAGCAAATGGAAAACAAAAATGGTAATCTAACAGATGAGACCTCAACAGTGGCTCACACTCTGCTTAGATTTGCCATGCTTTTGTCATTTTAATTTAAATTGTATTTTTTATATATTTCTATTTGGCTTTTTCCAGTTTTATTTGTAGTAATTGTAGTACTTAAACTCGTGTGTGTGTGTTTGTTTGTACTGTATGTGTATTCTTATTTCTTTTTAATTTGTTAATGAATTCATAATTAACAAATGAATTATGCTTAAACAATAAATAAATAAGTTAATAAATAAATGAAAAAAAAAAAATATATATATATACTGTATATACACACACATACTGTATATATAATGTGTGTGTGTATATATGTATTTATATATAATGTGTGCGTTTATATATATAATGGGAAGGTTAATTTCACTGTTTTGTTTTGTTTTGCTTTGCTTTGTTTTGTTTTTGAACTGTTTGAATCAGTGACACGACACTGAATACACCTCTATGATGAATATTTTCAATTTCTAAATAAAAATTTCATTTATAAATGATTGTCAAGTGCGCATTCTGGTGTCTTGGCAGGTCTGAGCGATTTCTTCTAATCTTTTGCGCCGTTTGCTCTTCATCTCATTGCTGTCTAGAAACGATAGATTTTTCATTCCTCTGGGAAGATTTCTTTCACAGCTCTTTGTTTTTACTCGACCTCCCCAATATCAAACCTCGTCAAGATAGCGAAGAAAAGATCGAGTAATAAGATCATCTCTCATATCCTTATTAAGGCTGGCTCCTGGGACAGCACGTGTGTGTTCTTGTAAAGAGCGAGTGCGTATGGAGCGTGTGCTGGGAGGCCTGGATGAGAAATCACCTCAGCGCCCCTCTGCAGCGCTCTCACTCCCTTCCCGTGCCTGTTAGCCCGGGAGTGAGCCCCAGTGTCTCCTCGCAGCACACGTGTAATCAATAACAGCCCCAGCTCACACACACAAAGCGCTTCCACCTCAGCACGTCGTGTTTGACACACAAACTTATACATCATCCCACACTCAGCGCTCCCCTGAACATCTGAGGCGTTCAGATTACGTGGAGGAAGAGCAGGCACAGCTTTGGGTAATGTCATTCATAGCCTTTCACTGCAGTATGAGGGTTTGGAGAGAGGAGAGGCTGATGCCGTCGAGAGCCATTGGCTTCCCAGGCTTCTATTAAAGAGCTGTCAAGTACAAGCGCTCGTGTGACAGAAACTGGGGCACCTTTCTCTCCATCATCACCTGCTTCACTGACCCGCTCCGCTCTTCGTCTTGCATCTCCTTTGTTTATTTTTGGCCTGTGTAATTTATTTCTATTTATGAGTAACGGTCATCGCATGTCAAGGGCGTTGTGAAATCAAGAATGATTGGAAGGAAATCTGTTTTTGTTCTCTATCCGGCTACATACAAACGAGTTCTCAGTTGTTTCTCCAAGAGAGCAAATGGAGAATTTTTTAGAAAACAAAAATGGTAATCTAACAGATGAGACCTCAACAGTGGCTCACACTCTGCTTAGATTTGCCATGCTTTTGTCATTTTAATTTAAATTGTATTTTTTATATATTTCTATTTGGCTTTTTCCAGTTTTATTTGTAGTAATTGTAGTACTTAAACTTGCATTTGTTTATTTCAGTTAGTTTCCAAGGCAACTTTTTAAATTTTCGTTTAAGTTTGCTACGTTTTTTCTTTATTTTTAATTTTGAGTTTTTTATTAATTAATTTCATTTTTTCTTTTTTCTTTTTTTTACCAATTAATGTTTTATTTTACTTCAGCTGTATCTCAATTACTTAAAAAATGGCAATTGAAATGTTTTTAATCATTTTAGTTTTAGACGTCATTTAGCTTTAATGTCATCGTTTACTCATCCTCGTGTCGTTCTAAATCTGTAAGAGTTTCATTCTTCTGTTTGTGTAGAATGTCTGTAACCAAACTATTGATGGTAGCCATTGACTTCCATAGTATGGAGAGAGAAAAAAATACTATGGAAGTCAATGGCTACCAGCAACTGCTTAGTTACTAACATGCTTCAAAGTATCTTCTTTTGTGTTCAGCGGGAAAAAGAAACTCATACAAGTTTGGAATGACTTGAGGGTGAGTAAACAATGACACATTTTTTTTTCATTTTTAGGTGAGCTATCCCTATAACAACACTGAGGAATCCTTCAGTTTCAGGAGAAACATACAAAATAAGAGAATATAAAAAGTGCGTCTCTCCTAAGCTGTGAAAAAGCCACCTCTGAGCTATAACATGCCCTCAGACATATTCTTGCGACATAGATGAGTGTTTTTCACATCTGGGACTTTACGGAGGAAGCAGTGTGTCAGATTAGATTTCCTGTAACAAACACTATTAAGAGCACCTGCATTTTTTTCATCAGCCTCATTATGTGCAGTCCCTAATGGAGAGCCTCGGAGGAGAGACAGGTTAATGTAAACCTGCATTCCCACGCATCACAGCTACTCTCCATGCCGTCTTCTGCTCACACTCTGCATAAGAAACCTCTCAGGAGAAACAACAGGCATGTAGGTGTGCTGTGGGAATGTCATGTAGACTGTGAGATAGGTAATAAACATCACTGATATGTTGGAAGCGGTTGCATCCGACCCCAAAACAAACCTTTAATTAAACCGTAAGGTCTTTTGCTGTATTCCCAGAGAAGAAGATCCTGACCTCGCTGCTTCTATTATAATAAAGCCCCTTCGGTCTTCTTGCCGTGAAGCAGAATTCAGTTGATTCTAGGAGGATGGTGCTGACTGAAGCTTTGGTTCACCAACTGTATTAGGTATTGAACCTGCAACAAGAGGGGAGTGGAATACAGATGCATGTAATTAGCCATCTCATCATGATTTTCCCTCTTCATTATGGGTAATGGAATGGGATTCTCATGAATAGGGATGGATGAGCTGACGAGTACACTTTAATAGCAGAGATATTTTTTTCCATTTTTTGAGAGATGTATTTGCATAATTCATGCAACCGCCGCTGAATGTGACATTAAAGGAGACTTTAAAAGTATTTTTAAACATACTTTATCACATAGCTCTGACTTAATCCTCCCAAATGTTCAGTCCCCGGAGGAAAAAATTATTGCTCATATTGCTCATAGCTCAAAAGACTTGATTATGTTTCAGGCAAACATAAACTTTGTTTCTGATGTTTCTCCTAAAATCCCTCAAGGACTGCTCTTTGTGGTCATATGCTTTTTTTGTTAGTTTTTTTGCCATTATCAAGAAAATGTATAATTTAATAACTTCAACAACTTTTAAAACAACATTTCTTAAACAGACTTATTGTCCTAAACCTACCATTCAAAAATGTTGGAGTCAGTCAGTTTTTTTTATTTATATATATATATATATATATACAGTGGGTACGGAAAGTATTCAGACCCCCTTAAATTGTTCACTCTTTGTTATATTGCAGCCATTTGCTAAAATAATTTAAGTTAATTTTTTTTCCTCATTAATGTACACACAGCACCCCTTATTGACAGAAAAACACAGAATTGTTGACATTTTTGCAGATTTATTAAAAAAGAAAAACTGAAATATCACATGGTCCTAAGTATTCAGACCCTTTGCTCAGTATTTAGTAGAAGCACCCTTTTGATCTAATACAGCCATGAGTCTTTTTGGGAAAGATGCAACAAGTTTTTCACACCTGGACTTGGGGATCCTCTGCCATTCCTCCTTGCAGAGCCTCTCCAGTTCTGGCAGGTTGGATGGTAAACGTTGATGGACAGCCATTTTTAGGTCTCTCCAGAAATGC